CAACACAAACTAGAATATACACTATGATTTTAACCATCCAAGACAGTTTGTATGATGGTGAGACTAGCATCGTATTATAGTAAGGAAAATAGTTGTTAGGATGATGGTGCTGTCTGACTTTTTAAAAGGTAATTTATTTTACCTTTTGAACATAAATACTATAAAAGGAGGTCAATGTTGAAGCATTTTAATTTTGCCCACAGTTGTGTCTTCTCTTTTCCAAATGCTCACCTGGGATAAGTTACCTACTACCTACTGCCAAACCCTCTCTTCCTTTTTTGGCCTAATGTGGCTGTCAGGTTTTTGTTTCTTAATTTCTGTTTGTCTGAAATATCCCATTAATAGCAAAGTCTTATGGATTCTTTCTTTGAAATTCTTTCCTCTCTCTGTATACTGGTACTTCGGAATGTGATTTATTGCAAGCTCTTTTGTTTCCTCTGCTCTCCAAATTAGCCTACATATCAGTGTTATCTTCTTAAAGCACCAGTTTCATCCTTCACTTGTCTACTTAAAAACAGAAAGATTCCCTTATGATCTTTCATAAGCAGCCAAACTTACTGATGTATTATTCATGATTTTCTATAATCTGATCAAGGTTACCCATCCAGCCATATTTCCCACCACTCTGTAACATAAATCTTATGTATAAACCTCCTTATAAACTGCTCATATAGCAAGATGTTTCTTATATTTGCTTTTCCCCTCATTCATTCTCCCTCAAAGAATGCTTTTTCCCCTCACTGCCTTGGCAGGTTCTGCCGATTTTTCTGAATCTGCTTTAGATACTACCCCCTACAAAGGATATTTCTAAGTGCTACAGGCTTTATCAATATTTCTTTTCAAAATCACTTGGTACTTAAGGCCTTTATTACATTTTACACTCTATTATACCTTATTGTTATTTTATTCTGTTCCCTGTATGTTCTTTGCCCAACCAAATTATTAGTTTTTTAAGGGAAACGCTCATTTCCAAACACGTTAACCTGTTGCTAAACACGGAATAGACTTTCAATAAATGCTGTTTTTTAAAAAATGTTTTATTTATTTATTTATTTGGCTGCATCAGGTCTTAGTTGCAGCACGCAGGATCTTTGTTGCGGCATGTGGGATCTTTTTTTTGCAGCGCACGGGCTCTTCACTGCGGCGCACGGGCTCCAGGGCACGCAGGCTCAGTAGTTGGCAGTGTGTGAGCTCTCTAGTTGTGGCACGTGGGCTCCAGAGCCCATGGGCTCAGTAGTTGCAGCATGAGTGCTCTCTAGTTGTGGTGTGCAGACTCTAGAGTGTGCAGGCTCAGTAGTCGTGGCGTGTTGTTTTAGTTGCCCCACAGCATGTGGGAATTTAGTTCCCTGACCAGGGATTGAACCTGCATCCCCTTCATTGGAAGGCAGATTCTTAACCACTGGGCCACCAGGGAAGTCCCTCAATAAATATTTTTGATTGAAGTAGTATTGTTGACCAATTTTGTTATAAAGGTTAGATAAGCTAGACAGAATTCTTAAGAGATGATTTATTTACATATCTAAAACTGAAAGATGCTCCCTTAAAAACTCAAAATCAGTCTTTTAAAAATATCTAATTATTACAAACTTTCCTAAAAATACAGATGTCTGTTGCTTCATATCACCCCAAAATTTAGTCACTTAGAACAATGAACGTTTATTATCACACAGTATCTGTAGGTCAGGAATCTGGGTGTGGCTAAGTGACTCTGGCTTAAGGTCTCTCATTAGGTTGCAGTCAGTGTGTCAGTTGGGGCTGCAGTCTTATCTCCAGGCTCAACTGAGGAAGATCAGCTTCCAAGCTTACTCACTTGGTTGTTGGCAGGATTCAGTTCCTCACAGGTTGTGGGACTGAGGTTCTCAGTTCCTCATTGACTGTGGCTCTCTGTGGCTCTCTCTCTAGAGGCTTCCTTCAATTCCTTGCCATGGGCATCTCCAAAAGGCAGCTCAGAACATGGCAGGTGGCATTCCTCAGAGTGAGCAAATGAGAAAGCACCATGACAAACGACACAATATTTTCTTTTATAATTTTGTAAGTGACATTTCATTAATTCTGTTGTATTTGATTCACTAGAAGTGAATCCAGTCCACACCCCAGGGGAAGGTGATTATACAAAGGAATGAATGCCAGGCTATAGGGCTCATTGAGGTCCATCAAAGAGGCTGCCTCCCTTAGTCAGGCCATTCTTCTCTTGTCTGAAGATCTTTTCTGACCTCAGGAAAAGAGAAGTTGCTTATCTGAGTCTTTCCCAATAATTTTTCTATTCTTAGCACCTAAGCTTTAATCTATGATAGCATATCTAGGGTCATTTAGTATTGAATTATGTAATGTTCTGCATCCTGACCCTATTAAAGCTGTAGGAAAGCATACACTACAGTCTTTTATCAGGATAAATACAGAGCTTAAATAAGATATAGGATACCAGTATAGCAAATATGTTCTCAATTATTTGAATAAATAATGTATATAATTTACTCAAAGTGTAGTTTTCAGTTAAATGCTATACTAAAACCTCAACATGTAAATATACAATGTGCCATGTATAGTAAGGATTCAAAAATATTTGTTAAATACACTTGCTTATATATTTCTGTGAATGAATTAATTTAGTGATTTAGAATTCCTGTACCTATGGTGGAATAAAATTGTTATCAGTTAGATTTTGCCATCTGAAAGTTCTAAATAAAAGCAAAAATAATAATATATTGATGTTCATAGGAATTCTTTATTTTCAGAGTTGGAGAGATTAAAAGAATACTTTTTTAAAAACTTATTTATTTATTTATTTATCTTTGGCTGTGTTGGGTCTTCGTTGCTGCGCGCAGCTTTCTCTAGTTGTAGCAAGCAGGGGCTATTCTTTGTTGTGGTGCATGGGCTTCTCATTTGCGGAGGCTTCTCTTGTTGCAGAGCACAGGCTCTAAGCGCATGGGCTTCAGTAGTTGTGGCTCGTCGGCTTAGTAGTTGCAGCTCACGAGCTCTAGAGCGCAGGCTGAGTAGTTGTGGTGCATGGGCTTAGTTGCTCCTTGGCATGTGGGGTCTTCCCGGACCAGGGCTCGAACCCATGTCCCCTGCACTGGCAGGCGGATTCTTAACCACTGTGCCACCAGGGAAGTCCCTAAAAGAATACTTAATGCAGTCTTTAGAAGTTTATTTTGAATTTGAAAATAAAAGTTAATAAAACAGTTTATCAACTTAGTGATTTGGGAGGCTGGCTGAGAAGTTAGTTCCATGTATCACTGTTTATATCAAAATTAATTCCAGATAAATTAAAGATTTAAATGTAAAAAAAGACAAACATAAAATTACATGAAGAAAGTATATGTGAATGTTTGTATACTCTGAAGAGGTGAAAATCTTTCTAACATGACATCAAACCCATCAAACCCAGAAGCTACAGTAGAAGAATTTGACTATACTGAAATTAAATATTTCTGTATGGTGAAAAGTAGGCAAAAAACATCACCATAAAGTCAGAAGCCATTATGGGGAAAAAAAAATTTACCATGTATAACAGGAAATGTTCTAATTCCTCTGACTGAAAAAGAGCTTTTATGTGGTTCAGTAAAAAAAAAATTATACTTGTATAGGCAGGCAATTCAAAGAAAAGTATATATAATTAATACATAGTTAAAAAGGCAAAACATGGATAAAAATTTACTGCATATATTAAAATGATGCTACATATATTTAAAAGGTATCACGTATACTAAAAGTCATTTATAGGGGCTTCCCTGGTAGCACAGTGGTTAAGAATCCACCTGCCAATGCAGGGAACACGGGTTCCAGGGAACACGGGTTCGAGCCCTGGGCTGGGAAGATCCCACATGCCGCGGAGCAACTAAGCCCACGTGCCCAACTACTGAGCCGGCACTCTAGAGGCCACGAGTCACAACTACTGAGCCCGTATGCCACAACTAATGAAGCCTGCATGCCTAGAGCCTGTGCTCTGCAACAATAGAAGCCACCACAATAAGGAGGCCGTGCACCGCAACGAAGAGTAGCCCCCGCTTGCTGCAACTAGAGGAAGCCCGCGTGCAGCAACAAAGACCCAATGCAGCCAAAAATAAATAAGTAAATAAATTTATTTTTTAAAAAGTCATTTATATATTAAAATGGTGATACCAAGTGAAAATACATATATAAAAATATATCAGGGCTTCCCTGGTGGCACAGTGGTTGAGAGTCCGCCTGCCGATGCAGGGGACACGGATTCGTGCCCCGGTCCGGGAAGATCCCACATGCCGCGGAGCGGCTGGGCCCGTGAGCCATGGCCGCTGAGCCTGCGCATCTGGAGCCTGCGCTCCGCAACGGGAGAGGCCACAACAGTGAGAGGCCCGTGTACCACAAAAAAAAAAAAAAAAATCAATTTGGGGGAAGTATAGTTGCTTTACAATATTATATTAGTTTCAGGTGTACAGCATAGTGATTCAGTATTTTTACAGATTATACTCCATTAAAAGCTATTACAAGATAATGGCTATAATTCCCTGTGCTATACAATATATTCTTGTTGCTTATCTATTTTATACATAGTAGTTTGTATCTCAATTCCATACCCCTTTCTTGCCTCTCTCTCTCCCCTCTCCTCATCGGTAACCACTAAGATGCCAATTTTTTAAATGCAAAAAAAAATGTTTGCTTACTTCTAAGAATGACAAACATTTAGAAGACAGATGACACCCATTCTTGGAAAGGTATTGGGGTAATAGTTATCTTGCTGATAGCAGTGAAACTTGGTAAAAACCTTTTAGAGCTTTATTGTAGTGACATGGAAAGATGCTTATATATAAAGAGGAGGAAAAAGAAAGTTCAAAACATAGGATGTACACTGAAAAAAATATGTGAGACCTTAGCTAACAGTTAACATTGATTTTCTCTGAATGGGGGGGTAAATATTTTTATATTACCTATTGCTACAATTTTTAGTTAAAATATATTACCTTTGTAATTAGATAAAAAGTAATATTTTTAAAAGGCAACTTTACCATTTCTTTTTACAGGAGATTACATGCTTGATACAAAGCCAAAAGAAATTTCAGAAATTCAGCGTTTAAACTATGAGCAGGTAATAGATACAATTTTTGTTATATTAAGATAGTTAATTTTTACTTATGGATATATTCATTGGTCTCTATCAGTGGCTTTTCTTTTTTTTTTGAATTTTTGAATTTTATTTATTTTTTTATACAGCAGGTTCTTATTAGTTATCTATTTCATACATATTAGTATATATATGTCAATCCCAATCTCCCAATTCATCACACCACCACCCCACCCCACCCCCACCACTTTCCCCCCTTGGTGTCCATACGTTTGTTCTCTACATCTGTGTCTCTATTTCTGCCTTGCAAACCAGTTCATCTGTACCATTTTTATAGGTTCCAGATATATGCATTAATATATGATATTTGTTTTTCTCTTTCCAACTTACTTCACTCTGTATGACATTCTCTAGATCCATCCACGTCTCTACAAATGACCCAACTTTGTTCCTTTTTATGGCTGAGTAATATTCCATTGTATATATATATATATATACCACATCTTCTTTATCCATTCGTCTGTCGATGGGCATTTAGGTTGCTTCCATGACCTGGCTATTGTAAATAGTGCTGCAGTGAACATTGGGATGCATGTGTCTTTTGAATTATGGTTTTCTCTGGGTATATGCCCAGTAGTGGGATTGCTGGGTCATATGGTAATTCTATTTTTAGTTTTTTAAGGAACCTCCATACTGTTCTCCAAAGTGGCTGTATCAATTTACATTCCCACCAGCAGTACAAGAGGGTTCCCTTTTCTCCACACCCTCTCCAGCATTTCTTGTTTGTAGATTTTCTGTTGATGCCCATTCTAATTGGTGTGAGGTGATACCTCATTGTAGTTTTAATTTGCGTTTCTCTAATAATTAGTGATGTTGAGCAGCTTTTTATGTGCTTCTTGGCCATCTGTATGTCTTCTTTGGAGAAATGTCTAGGTCTTCTGCCCATTTTTTGATTGGGTTGTTTGTCTTTTTAATATTGAGCTACATGAGCTGTTTATATATTTTGGAGATTAATCTCCCATGCTGAAGGTTGTCTTTTTGTCTTGTTTGTGGTTTGCTTTGCTTTACAAAGCTCTTAAGTCTCATTAGGTCCCATTTGTTTATTTTTATTTCCATTACTCTAGGAGGTGGATCAAAAAAGATCTTGCTGTGATTTATGTCAAAGAGTGTTCTTCCTATGTTTTCCTCTAAGACTTTTATAGTGTCTGGCCTTACATTTAGGTCTTTAATCCATTTTGAGTTTATTTTTGTGTATGGTGTTAGGGAGTGTTCTAATTTCATTCTTTTACATGTAGCTGTCCTGTTTTCCCAACACCACTTATTGAAGAGACTGTCTTTTCTCCATTGTACATCCTGGCCTGCTTTGTCATAGATTAGTTGACTATAGGTGTGTGGGTTTATCTTTGGGCTTTGTATCCTGTTCCATTGATCTATATTTCTGTTTTTGTGCCAGTACCATATTGTCTTGATTATTGTAGCTTTGTAGTATAGTCTGAATTCAGGGAGTCTGATTCCTCCAGCTCCACTTTTTTCCCTCAAGACTGCTTTGGCTATTCAGAGTCTTTTGTGTCTCCATACAAATTTTAAGACTTTTTGTTCTAGTTCTGTAAAAAATGCCATTGGTGATTTGATAGGGATTGCATTGAATCTGTAGATTGCTTTGGGTAGTATAGTTATTTTAACAATATTGATTCTTCCAGTCCAAGAACATGGTATATCTCTCCATCTGTTTGTGTCATCCTTTTAAAAAAAATTTTTTTTTAATATATCAGGTTCTTATTGGTTATCCATTTTATACATATTAGTGTATATATGTCAATCCCAGCTGCTTTTGCTGCATCCCATAGGTTTTGGATCATCATGTTTTCATTGTAATTTGTTTGTAGATATTTATTGATTTCCTCTTTAATTTCTTCAGTGATCTCTTAGTTATTTAGTAACGTATTGTTTACCCTCCATGTGTTTGTGTTTTTTATGGTTTCTTTTGCTGTAATTGATTTCTAATCTCATAGTGTTGTGGTCGGAAAAGATGCATGATATGATTTCAATTTTCTTAAATTATCAAGGCTTGATTTGTGACCCACAGTGTGATCAATCCTGGAGAATGTTCCATGTGCACTTGAGAAGAAAGTGTAATCTGCTATTTTTGGAAGGAATGTCCTATAAATATCAATTAAATCTATATGGTCCATTGTGTCATTTAAAGCTTGTGTTTCCTTATTAATTTTCTGTTGGGATGATCTGTCCACTGGTGTAAGTGAGGTGTTAAAAGTCCCCCACTATTATTGTGTTACTGTCGATTTCCTCTTTTATAGCTGTTAGCAGTTGCCTTACGTATTGAGGTGCTCCTGTGTTGGGTGCATATATATTTATAATTGTTATATTTTCTTCTTGGATTGATCCCTTGATCACTATGTAGTGTCCTTCCTTGTCTCCTGTAACATTCTTTATTTTAAAGTCTATTTTATCTGATATAACTATTGCTACTCCAGCTTTCTTTTGATTTCCATTTGCATGGAATATCTTTTTCCATCCCCTCACTTTCAGTCTGTATGTGTCCCTAGGTCTGAAGTGGGTCTCTTGTAGACAGCATATATATGGGTCTTGTTTTTGTATACATTCAGCGAGCCTGTGTCTTTTGGTTGGAGCATTTAATCCATTCACGTTTAAGGTAATTATTGATATCTATGCTCCTTTACTATTTTCTTAATTGTTTTGGGTTTGTTTTTGTAGGTCGTTTTCTTCTCTTGTGTTTCCCACTTAGAGAAGTTCCTTTAGCATTTGTTGTAGAGCTGGTTTGGTGGTGCTGAATTCTCCTAGCTTTTGCTTGTCTGTAAAGCTTTTGATTTCTCCACTGATTCTGGATGCCATCCTTGCCGGGTAGAGTAATCTTGGTTGTATGTTCTTCCCTTTCATCACTTTAAATATATTGTGCCACTCCCTTCTGGCTTGTGGAGTTTCTGCTGAGAAATCAGCTGTTAACCTTATGGGAGTTCCCTTGTATGTTATTTGTCCTTTTTCCCTTGTTGCTTTCAATAATTTTTCTTTGTCTTTAATTTTTGTCAATTTGATTACTATGTGTGTCGGCGGGTTTCTCCTTGGGTTTATCCTGCCTGGGACTTTCTGCACTTCCTGTACTTGGGTGGCTATTTCCTTTCCCATGTTAGGGAAGTTTTTGACTATAATCTCTTCACATATTTTCTTGGGTCCTTTCTCTCTCTCTTCTCCTTCTGGGACCCCTATAATGCAAATGTTGTTGCATTCAGTGTTGTCCCAGAGGTCCCTTAGGCTGTCTTCATTTCTTTTCATTCTTTTTTCTTTATTCTGTTCCACAGCAGTGAATTCCACCATTCTGTCTTCCAGGTCACTTATCCGTTCTTCTGCCTCAGTTATTCTGCTATTGATTCCTTCTAGTGTATTTTTCGTTTCAGTTATTGTGTTGTTCATCTCTGTTTGTTCTTTAATTCTTCTAGGCTTTTGTTAAACATTTCTTGCGTCTTCTCGATCTTTGCCTCCATTCTTTTCCCGAGGTCCTGGATCATCTTCACTATCATCATTCTGAATTCTTTTTCTGGAAGGTTGCCTGTCTCCACTTCATTTAGTTGTTTTTCTGCGGTTTTATCTTGTTCCTTCATCTGGTACAAAGTCCTCTGTCTTTTCATTTTGTCTATCTTTCTGTGAATGTGGTTTTCCTTCCACAGGCTGCAGAATTGTAGTTCTTCTTGCTCTGCTGTCTGCTGTCTCGTGGATGAGGCTATCTAAGAGGCTTGTGCAAGCTTCCTGATGGGAGGGACTGGTGGTGGGTAGAGCTGGGTGTTGCTCTGGTGGGCAGAGCTCAGTAAAACTTTAATCCACTTGTCTGCTGATGGATTGCGCAGGGTTCCCTCCCTGTTGGTTGTTTGGCCTGAGGCGACCCAGCACTGGAGCCTACCCGGCTCTTTGGTGGGGCTAATGGCAGACTCTGGGGGGGCTCACGCCAAGGAGTACTTCCCAGAACTTCTGCTTCCAGTGTCCCTGTCCCCACAGTAAGCCACATCCACCCCCTGCCTCTGCAGGAGACCCTCCAACACTAGCAGGTAGGTCTGGTTCAGTCTCCCCTGGGGTCACTGCTCCTTCCCCTGGGTCCCGATGTGCGCACTACTTTGTGTGTGCCCTCCAAGAGTGGAGTCTCTGTTTCCCCTGTCCTGTCAAAGTCCTGCAATCAAATCCCGCTAGCCTTCAAAGCCTGATTCTCTAGGAATTCCTCCTCCTGTTGCTGGACCCCCAGGTTGGGAAGCCTGACGTGGGGCTCAGAACCTTCACTGCAGTGGGTGGACTTTTGTGATATAAGTGTTCTCCAGTTTGTGAGTCACCCACCCAGCAGTTATGGGATTTGATTTTATTGTGATTGTACCCCTCCTGCCATCTCATTGTGGCTTCTCCTTTGTCTTTGGATGTGGGGTATCTTTTTTGGTGAGTTCCAGTGTCTTCCTGTCCATGATTGTTCAGCAGTTGGTTGTGATTCCAGTGCTCTCGCAAGAGGGAGTCTCAGTGGATTTTTGGGCATATTCTTTGTTTTCTCTTTTTACACCCTTTTAAAAATGTAAAAACCATTCTTAGCTCACAGCCTTATTTGACCCACAGGCCGTACTTTGCTGATCTGTCTTTTATGTGAATCTATATGCAATGTAGAATGAAACATAGATATCATTCTACACACCTTTGTAGAATGATAACTTGGTATTTTCCTTGAAAAAATTGACTTTCAAGTGAACTTGTTATTGATTTATCTTTCCTCATTTGTGTACATTTTACAATTAAATTATATGTAGGAAACAGCAAATGATGTCTGGGGTATGTCATTATGACTAAATCTGCTGTTTCATAGTTTCAATGTGTCTACATTGGCCCGTTCTTTAGAGACACTATTCTGTAATATAGGAGGGGACCACTGGGCTCAAAATTATTGGAGCTGTAAGAAAGCAAGCATAGCTTCATTTTCTTCAGTATTCTTCCTTTGTTTGACAATGGAAGGCAAGAAGAAATCAGGTTCTTACAGTGGAAGAAGTATCAGGCAGGGAAGAAACAGACATCATTGGAACCTTTATGTTTACTTTCAAAGTAACCCTTACTACATACTTTCACCAGTATCCAAATGGCAAAAAGAAAACAAAATTCATTTTGGTATTGCAAAATTTCTTGAATTTGAGTGTTCAAATAATCTAGTCCTAATAAAATGGAAAAGCCAGTATGTTGCACTGTATCACTGTGTAAGGTAGGAAATCCATAGCTAAAGCCAAATAGGTATGCTAAATCATTTAAATTCTATTGGAATTTGTAGCTTAAAGCAAGGATTTCCAAACATTTCTCACAATGGAAACTTCTTTTCAAATGAAATCTTAGGCTAACCTTCAATATATAAAACCAGTAAATATTTTATAAGTATAAAGTGTTATGGTTAAATTTATATCATTTATTTATCAAATTTGTATCATTTCTTATTGAAATCAGCAAGGCTATTATGATTAATACAAAAACTTGAAATTAGAAATTATGGATCATAGTTGCAGTTTCACATTAACCTCAAAATTCATTTTACTTCTGTTGCACAGTCTTGAGAAAATCTTTTTTATTTATTGATTTATTTTTTAATATCTTTATTTGAAGTATAATTGCTTTACGATGTTGTGTTAGTTTCTGCTGTATAACAAAGTGAATCAGCTATATGTATACATATATCCCCATATCCCCTCCCTCTTGCATCTCCCTCCCACCCTCCCTATCCCACCGTTCTAGGTGGTCACAGAGCACCAAGCTGATCTCCCTGTGCTATGCAGCTGCTTCCCACTAGCTATCTATTTTACATTTGGTAGTGTATATATGTCCATGCCACTCTCTTACTTCGTCCCAGCTTACCCTTCCCCCTCCCCATGTCCTCAAGTCCATTCTCTACGTCTGCCTCTTTATTCCTGTCCTGCCCCTAGGTTCATCAGAACCTTTTTTTTTTTTAATTCCATATATATGTGTTAGCATACGGTATTTGTTTTTTGAGAAAATCTTGAGTGATGAGTATTTGCAAATGATATCAGCACTTTGTTTCAAGTCTGTTTTGCAGTCTCAGGATATGTTTCCATTAAGGTGATCTAGACTCTTGGAAAATGATTGGAAGTAAAGTTTTGCTTCAAAGTTGAAACAGACACTAAGAACCACTTGCATTTCTTATAAACATGTCAGACAGAAAGTACCCTGCATTTAAAATAGCTCTAAAACTATTTATAAGGTATTGTGATTGCATTACCATTAGTTTTGAGAATAGTATATACCAAGCTGATAAAACTGAGTCTAAGCTGGTGTTTAATGTTCCACAGGTGTGATGTAACAATGTTCTTTTTGTATAGTTTTGTGTGAGCAGAAATGTTTAAGCCTAAATTTTAGAAAGACCAATGCAGAGCTGCAGTCTTCCTAATTAAAAACCCTTTTACCAGAAATCATAATATAAACAAAGAGCATATTTTTTTCAGTTTTGCTTAATGATGACAACACAAGAAAATACTGTGTGTTTGTGTGTTTATGACAGGTTTTTATATGACTGCAAATATATTTTTTAAATATATCTTATATTTAACTTTAAAATTTCACCACGTTAACGGTACCTTTAAGAAAAATTCTAAGAAACAGTTGAACTACTGGCATAAAGGAGTAGTAATCCTTTCTTGTAAACACCCATTTGGATTCAAGAACAAGATGGCAAAATACTCTTTTTAACTCTTTGTTTATAAATTTGTTTATTTTTATCAGTTTTATTTATGGAGATTATTAATTGTATTAACTTAGTTATTTTAACATTATATAATCTATTAAAAATGTAGAAGATACATAAAGGTATAAGCTTGAGTCCAGGAGCTGTTAGAAATTATACTTCCCCCTGAAGGAAACTGGATGACTGGCAACTAAGAATTTAACAAATAGCAGGAAAAAAATCAGTAGTATCAGTAGTAGAACTATAATCCTACAGTGGCTCATTATTGTTACTATTTTCTCACATTCATCATTGTTATGGCTTTAGGAAAAGTTTTAAAACACTGAAAGGAAAAAAATGTGAGCTGATTGCTTTCAAGGGTTCAATTTTTAGGAAGACTGAGAAAATATATTGTTTTGGGGGAATATAGTTATTAGAGGTGAAACTGACAAAATCCAAAGAGTATATAACAGTGTTATCCTGTTATAAATTCTTCATTCATAAATTTAAAACATTTGAATAATTTGTTTTCAGTCTGTATAGTCTCTTAGCATGGAATTTTATAAGTTAACTGGTAAAACAGAACTTTGTTATTATGACCTAAATTTGTCCTTCTGAGATTTCAGTGAGTCCCTAATTTTAATATAAAAGGATTTATTTCATGTTCACCCTTTCTACTATAAGCCCTCCACTAGGCTATAGTCTACTCCTGTTTATATCTTTCGTATGTAGCACAGTGTCTGATTAACAGTAGGGATTCAATAAAATTTTATCAAATTTTATATATTGGTTTTTATTTATTCCATGAAATATACCCTCTAAATTATGTCCATATTTAATATATTAAGACGTTTAGAAAAACATGTTTTAAAATAGTCTTCATTACACACTTACATGACCGTGTTTATTGAGAAAACTGTTGTGGACAGAACGACTCTTTAATTCGACCAACAAGTCTTTGTGATCCAGCCTTTCTCTCAGACTTCATCTCCCACCATTTACATTGATACATAATTATTACCCAAAGTCCATAGTTTACATTAGGGTTCACTCTTGGTGTTTATACATTCTTTGGGTTTTGAGAAATGTATAATGACATGTATCCACCTTTATAGTATCCTACAGAATAGTTTTCACTGCTGTAAAAATCCTCAGTGCTCTGCCAGTACATCCCTCCCTCCTCCTAATCCCTGGCAACCACTGATCTTTTTACTGTCTCCATCGTTTTGCCTTTTCCCACTGTGTCATTTGGAATCATACAATATATTTCAGATTGGCTTCTTTCACTTAGTAATGTACATGTAAATTTTCTCCATGTCTGTTCATGGCTTGATAGCTCATTTCTTTCTCTTTCGTTTTTTTAAATTGTGGTTAAAAAACATAATATAAAATTTACTCTCTTAACCATTTTTAAGTGTATAGTTTTGTCATGTTAACTGTATTTATATTCTTGTATAACATCTCTAGGACATTTTCATCTTGTAAAACTAAAATTCTATACTCGTTGAACAACTGTCCAGATCTCTCTCCCTCCAGCTCCTGACAACTACCATTCTACTTTCTATTTCCATGATTTTGACTACTCTAGATATCTCACCTAAGTGGAGTCATACAGTATTTGTTCTTTTGCAGCAGCTTATTTCACTCAGCATAATGTCCTCAAGTTTCATCCATGTTGTAGCATGTAATAGTATTTCCTTCTTTTTTTTAAGGCTGAATAATATTCCATTGTATACGTATACTATGTTCCCTTTATCCATTTATCTGTTAATGGACATTTGAGCTGCTTCCACCTCTTGGCTGTTGTGAATAATGCTGCAAAGAATATGGGTGTACACATATCTCTTCAAGACGATGCTTTAAATTCTTTTAGGAATATACCTAGAAGTGGGAGAGGCCTTCCTCTTTGACTAGAAATTTTGTCTTTGGACTTCCTGGTCTAAAAATAGGTCCCTCACCCCTCTCACTCTGTACATCCTTATCCTGTTCATTTTTCTTACTAATACTTGACTTTATAATTTATGTATTTGTCTCTCATAGTAGAATGTTAGTTCCATGAGATTAGGAACTTTGTTTTATCCACTATTTTATCATTAGAACGCATACTAGTGCCTGGCACATAGTAGGTACTTAATAATAAAAATTGAAGGGATGAATAAATTGGATAAAATGGAAAATTTGTAGTAAATGTGCCTGCATTTAAATATCTTTTTTGTTGTTTGATTTTCCTCATTTTTTTCTCTTCCCCTTTCTATTTTCAGAATATGAGTGATGCTATGGCAGTACTGCACAAACTACAGACAGGCTTGGATGTAAATGTAAAATTCACTGGTGTTCGAGTGTTTGAATATACACCAGAATGCATAGTATTTGATCTTCTTGATATTCCTTTGTACCATGGATGGCTAGTGGACCCTCAGGTAAGTAGAAAATCTTAAATTATATGAACACAAGTATAGTAAAAATCTATTAATTTGGCAAATTAATCTAGATTTATATTTTCTGATACTTAATGTTTTTGTGCTTTTACATGAAATTAGCCACATTGTGAGGTTAAGAGCACAGTCCTCCAGATTGCTAAATCTGCCCAAGACTTCTGACTATAATTTCATGGAGTTAGAGGCCAACTACAAAGCTGAGTCCACATCGTCTTGCGGAGCACAGGCTCCGGAGGCGCAGGCTCAGCAGTCATGGCTCACGGGCCCAGCTGCTCCGCGGCATGTGGGATCTTCCCGGACCGGGGCATGAACCTATTTCCCCTGCATCGGCAGGTGGACTCTTCAACCACTGCGCCACCAGGGAAGCCCTTATTGTCTCTCTTTTTGATTACAGCCATCCTAGTAGGTGTAAAGTTGTATCTCATTGTGGATTGTTTGCATTTCTCTAATGACTAATGATGTTGATATCTTTTCATGTGCTTAATGAGCCATTTGTATATCTTCTTTAGAGAAATATCTGCAGATCTCTTGCCCATTTTTAATTGGGCTATTTGTCTTTTTGTTACTGGGTTCTAAGAGTTCTTTGTATACTTGTAATATATAAAGTATGTAAGTATAGAGTATATAGTTTTAGTGCTTAATTTAGGAGTATGATCCATTTTGAGTTGATTTGTATATATGGTTTGGGGAAGGGATCCAACGTTATTCTTCTGCATGTGGATATTCAGTTGTACCAGCCCCATTTGTTGAAAAGGTTATTCTTCCCCCAAGTGAATTGTCTTGGCAGTCAGAGTGATCTTTGTGAAATAAACCCTCCCCTTTATCCCTGCGCCCTATTCTTTTCCTTAAAAGCCTCCAGTGTAACCAAAATAAGATACAAAGTCGTTTTTTTTTTTTACTTTTTATTGGCGTATAGTTGATTTACAATGTTGTGTTGGTTTCAGGTGTAAAGCAAAGTGAATCAGTTATACATGTACATATATCCACTCTTTTTTATATTCTTTTCCCATATAGGCCGTTAGAGAGTACTGAGTAGAGTTCCCTGTGCTATACAGTAGGTCCTTATTAGTTATCTATTTTATATATAGTAGTGTGTATATGTCAATCCCAATCGCCCAATTTAACCCTCCCCCCACTTTGCCCCCTGATAACCATAAGTCTGTTTTCTACATCTGTGACTCTATTTCTGTTTATTTTAAATTTTATTATTTATTTATTTTTGGCTGTGTTGGGTCTTCATTGCTGTGTGTGGGCTTTCTCTAGTTGTGGCAAGTGGGGGCTACTCTCTGTTCCCACACGCGGGCTTCTCGTTGCAGTGGCTTCTCTTGTTGCGGAGCCCGGGCTGTAGGCGTGCAGGCTTCAGTAGCACGCAGGCCCTAGAGCACGCAGGCTTCAGTAGTTGCGGCACCTGGGCTCCGTAGTTGTGGCTTGCAGGCTCCAGAACACAGGCTCAGTAGTTGTGGCGCACGGGCTTAGTTGCTCCACGGCATGTGGGGTCGTCCCAGACCAGGGCTCGAACCCATGTCCCCTGCATTAGCAGGCGAATTCTTAACCACTGCACTACTAGGGAAGTCCTTTATTTCTATTTTGTAAATAAGTGCATTTGTACCATTTTTTTAGATACTACATATAAGCGACATCATATGATATATGTCTTTATCTGACTTACTTCAGTCAATATGACAATCTCTGGGTCCATCCATGTTGCTGCAAATGGCATTATTTCGTTCTTTAAAATAAGATACAAAATCTTTATTAGAGTTTTTTTTTTTTTTAAGAAGATGTTGGGGGTAGGAGTTTATTAATTAATTTATTTATTTTTGCTGTGTTGGGTCTTCATTTCTGTGCGATGGCTTTCTCTAGTTGTGGCAAGCGGGGGCCACTCTTCATCGCAGTGCGTGGGCCTCTCACTATCACGGCCTCTCTTGTTGCGGAGCACAGGCTCCAGACGCGCAGGCTCAGTAGCTGTGGCTCATGGGCCTAGTTGCTCCGCGGCATGTGGGATCCTCCCAGACCAGGGCTCGAACCCATGTCCCCTGCATTAGCAGGCAGATTCTCAACCACTGTGCCACCAGGGAAGCCCCTTTATTAGAGTTTTTATGATACACTGCGTGATATAGACTCTGCCTCCTGTCAAACTTCACCTCATATAATTCTCCCACCTTTTTACTACCCTCCAACAACACCAGCTGCCTTTCTGTTTTTCAGACATACCAAGCTCATTTCTAGCTCGGGTTTTTGTACTAGCTGATTGCCCACTGTGGAGCACTGTTTTACTACCCTAATACATTGTTCTCCCAGATCTCCCCATTTCTACTTCCTCATTATTCAGATCTTAGGTCAGATATCACCTTGTTAGAGAGGCCTTCCCTTGTTGAAATGAGTCACCCTCTTTTCCCCCAGTCATTATCTAGAATTATTATTTATTTATTTACTTGATTGACTCTCATCTCCCAGTAGAGTGTATGTTTTTGGTTTTTTTAATTGATTAATTTTCATTTATTATTATTATTATTTTTGGCTGCGTTGCGTCTTCATTGCTGTGCATGGGCTTTCTCTAGTTGCGGCGAGCAGGGGCTACTCTTCGTTGCGGTACACAGACTTCTCATTGTGGTGGCTTCTTGTTGTGGAGCATGGGCTCTAGGCACGCGGGCTTCAGTAGTTGTGGCATGCAGGCTCAGTAGTTGTGGCTTGTGGGCTCTAGAGTGCAGGCTTAGTAGTTGTGGTGCACAGGCTTAGCTGCTCTGCAGCATGTGGGATCTTCCCGGACCAGGGATCGAACCCGTGTCCCCTGCACTGGCAGGCAGATTCTTAACCACTGCACCACCAGGGAAGTCTGAGTGTATGTTTTATAAGAGCTGGGCTCTTATTTCTCATTGTTAAGAACAGTGCCTGGAACATAGTAGGTTCTCAATAGATATTAACTGATGGAATGAAACATGCATGCATGCATTACGTATAGGGGAGGAGAGATCATAATAGCAAGGATTTGGTAGTGTTTCTTCATCCCTGTCCTTTGGTAGAGGTAACTGGTATTCTGTGCAGTGAAAGGGTGGCTTACTGTAAGCAGGGCATCTACTTTTGTTGGCACTCTGTCGCTGAGAACATCACTGAAAAGTCTAAACATGTCCAGCATCTGAAACCTCCAAGGTGAGTCATGTTGGATCCTGGCAGATGGCAATGCCAGGTAGCCTAGATTCTTGAGGAGGATGAACTTATGACCTAAGGAACTTAAGCCTGAGTTCTTAAAAACTGGACTCAGATCATCCCTCTGACTGTATGTGTAGCTACATATTGCCTGGCAAACAGTTGAATTCATATGCTTAAAGAAAAAAAGGTACTCTAATATAGGACAGAAAATTTTCATCAGACTTTTCTGGTCTGCACAGTGGTTTTCAAACTCTTGGGCCTGAGAGCTGTTCTTTTTATCTATTTTACTTACTTGTTTTGTGACAGAAGGATTCTGATGCTGAGAAAGAAAAAAGAACAAGGCAAAATTTGAAATCCATAGGTCTCTATGAAATATCTCTTAGAACTGGCTAGTTCTTTGTATTATGATTATGTGTACTGCAAATAATTATCTTGCAAATAAATGTCAGTCATTTTCTGGATGGTGGGCCGGCACCATAGTTCAGCTACGGGAAGGTGTTTCTCCATTATTAATTGATAATTAACTCTTTAAGAGCAGCATTGGGGCCTTCCCTGGTGGCACAGTGGTTAAGAATCCACCTGCCAATGCAGGGGACATGGGTTCAAGCCCCAGTCCAGGAAGATCCCACATGCGGCGGAGCAGCTAAGCTCACGAGCCACAGCTACTGAAGCCCGCATGCCTAGAGCCTGTGCTCTGCAACAAGAGAAGCCACTGAAATGAGAAGCCCGGGTACCACAACAAAGAGTAGCCCCCACTTGCCACAACTAGAGAAAGCCCACGTGCAGCAACAAAGACCCAACTCAGTCTAAAATAAATAAATAAATAAACTAATTAATTTTTTAAAAAAGAAAATAAAAAAGAGCAGCATTGGAAGTCAGATGACAGTGGAAATCATACATTCAATGTGCTGAAAGAAGACAAATGCTAACCTATTTCCTATTCCCAGAAAAATTATCTTTCAAGAATGGAGAGAAATAAAGTCACTTTTAGATTAATTAAGATAGTTTCCTGCGAGCAGACTATCATTAATGGAAATTCTACACAATTATTTTGAAAAGAAGGAAAGTGATCCCAGATGGAAGAGTGAATAGAGAGAAAATAACATGATAAATATAAACGATTGTTGACTGTATTAAATAATAACATTATCTTTTGGGGTTTAAAAAATTAGCATATGTAAAAATAATAGCATAAGTTGGGAGAAGGGTAAAGCATTCTAAGGGCCTAGAATTAATTGTTCAAGAAGAGGGTATTAACTTCTGAATTTGATATGATAGGGGTAGATGTGATAGTTCCTATAACTTCTCTGTCCAACATGGTAGCCAACTGTTGCTATTTAAACTTAATTAAATATTTACTTCTTAAGTTTCACTAGACACATTTCAATTGCTCAGTAGCCACGTGTGGCTAGTGGGTATCTTACTGGGCAACAAAGGTTTGGAATATTTCCATTATTACAGTGTACTCTATTGGATAATGGTCTTTTGGAGTAACAGTGAAAAGAATAGAAAACATAGTGGATAACTTCTAGATTAGTAGAAGGGGGAAAATTAATCCTAAAAGAAGGAAGAAAGGGAGGTAAAGGAATGGTAGATTTAATAAATTCAAATATATGAATAATTATAGTAAGTGTCAATAGGACTAAATGCTCTAGTTAAAAGACAATGATTCTGAGGCCGGATTAAAATATATATAGTTGCTGTTACAAGAGACATATATAAAACAGTCTGAAGTTAAACAGAAAGATTGCAAATAAAAAGAGAAAAAGAGATGCCATACTGTTGCTAATCAAAAGAAAGCTGGTGTATCTATAGTAATATCAGAAAGAATAGATTTTTAAGTCAAAAAGCATTACTAATAATAGAATGTTTAATTTGCCAAGAAGATATAATCATTTTAAATTTGTATGTGCCTGGAGACACCTGGAAAGTAAATACCCTGATTGACTGTTTATTCCTTGGACCCATGGGAATTGCCACGAAGAATAAAGATCAGTTTTTAACAATGGAAAACAAAATTTGTATGCATCTAATAACATAACCTCAAAGTACATAAAGCAAAATTTAACAATTATAAGAAGAAAGAAATTGTCATACTGGGAGATTTTAATATACCTTTCACTGTAATTGATAGAAGCAGAAAAGAGAACCTAATGAACATACATTCTTTAAAAAAAGTTAATGAACTTTTTGTTTTTGAATAATTCCAGATTTACAGGAAAGTTGCAAAGATATTATTCAGAATTCCCATACATGCTTCTCAGTTTCCCCTAATCTTACATGACCATAGTACATGTGTCAAAACTTAGAAATTTAGTATTGGTACATTACTGTTAACTATATTAGTCTTTGCATTTCACTAATTTTTTCACTAATTTTTTTTTGTTGTTGTTCCAGAATCCAATCCAGGGTATCATATTGCATTTTAATCATTGTATCTTCCTAGTCTCCCCTTGTCTCTGCCATTTTCTCAGTCTTTCCTTGTTTTTTATGAACCTGACTATATATTCTTTTCATCCACTCTTGAAATTTACAAAAATTGACCTAATGCTGGACCATAAAGCAAGTTTCAACAGATTTTTTTTTCTTTCTGTACATGGGCCTCTCACTGCTGTGGCCTCTCCCGTTGCGGAGCACAGGCTCCGGACGCGCAGGCTCAGTGGCCATGGCTCACAGGCCCAGCTGCTCCGCGGCATGTGGGATCTTCCCATACCGGGGCACGAACCCGTGTCCCCTGCATCGGCAGGCGGACTCTCAACCACTGCGCCACCAGGGAAGCCCCTTGGCAAATTTTTAAGGATTTAAAATATATGAAGTACAGAATAGTCTCTGACCACAGTGCAATTAAACTAGAAATCAGCAGAAAAAACAGTAGAGACTGTCTGGATCAAAAAATCATAATGAAACTTAAAGTATATTTTAAACTATACAACAACTAAATATCAAAACTTGTGAGATTTAGCTGAAACAGTTTTTTTTTTAGCTAAAACACTTTTTAAAGGGGTTTTTAAAGCCCTAAAATCGAATATTAAGGAATAATGAAACTGAAAATTAATGAGCTTTGTATCTATCTTAAGAGCAAAATTATTAAAATAGAAAGTAAATATATAATAAAGAAGATTAACAAAGCTAAAATTCTTCAAAAAGGACTTGAAGAGACACTTCACAAAAATGGATACCCAAATGACCAGTGAACGTATGAACTAGTCATCAGGGAAATGCAAATTAAAACCTAAATGAGATACGACTACACACCCATCAGAATGGCTGACATTTAGAAGTGTGACAATACTAAATATTGGAGAAGATATGCAGTTTAGAGAATTTTCATTCCATGCTAATGATAATGTAAATTGACTACCTCCTTTGGAAAGCAGTTTGGAGTTATCTAGTAAAGTTGAGGATAAGACTCAAGAATCTGACAAGGCAAATTCCCTAGAGAAACTAGATTTGTGAAACAGGATACATGTACAGGAATGTTCATAGCAGTATTATTTGTCATTGCCCCAAACTGAAAACAACTTGAATAGCCATCAAAAGATGAATGAATAAATGTATTATATTCATACAGTGGAATGCTATAGTACAATGGAAACAAAGAACAGCTGCATACCACTGCATACAACTACCTAGTATGTTATATTTTTGCTTATTTGGTTTATTGTTTGTCCTTTCTCTAGAATATAAACTTTATGAAAGCATAGACCATCTATTTTATTCACTGCTGAGTCTTCAGTTTCTCTAACAGCACCTGGTGCATAGTAGTGCATAAAAGGCATCCAAATGAATTAATTGAATGAAATATTAATGTAGAGATCCTGCCTATGAAATTTGAAATCTTTGTATTTTTCATTGCTAGTCTATAGTAGTACAACTGATTTTTATATATTGATCATGTATTTATTATTCTAGGTGTATTTTTGTGGATTCCTTAGGATTGAAAATTCAGTCTTTGGAAAGACAATGAAGTTGAGTCACTAAAGAAAATTGCTGTAATCAGTAAAGGTGTTACAAAAAATAATGAAAATTTAAAGGGTTTGTGTTCTCAAACTGCTTCTTAAGGGTCTAAGTTTTCATTTTAAATAAATGAAAACTGAAAGGCATATTCTTTTGTGTTGTTTACCTAGAATCATAGCCAAAAGATCCACTTTCAAAGAAACGGCCTTATTTGGCTCTGTATCAGAAGGTTGACAAGTGAATACATTTGTGTGTTTTAAGCTAACATGAACTGTTTAAGATATGTATGTAACATTTGCCACAGTTTCCTACTTTAATTTATTCAAGTAACTGATCTTCAGCCAACCGTCAGTCCCACTTGGATGGTTAAGAGGCTTTTACCATCCTTGAATTTTGCAGGAACAACGAAAAATTATAACCTAGAGAAGTTGTTCTCAAACTTTGCTAGGCAGCAGTGGAATGAAAACTTAGGCACTTCAGAAACAACTTGAGTTTTGAATTCTTTTAGTTTTTTAAAAAGCTCCCAGTTTGAAAACCACTGTCCTTACTATTGTGCAGATCTGTCAATTCTTGTGGTATTCAAAGAGTAGATATTCATGAAGATCATTTGGATGTGGAAAAAAAACATGGCCTCTCCTATTTTTTATTTCATTGTATTAATTTGTGTTAATTAATATATTAATAAAGTACATGTAAATAATTTACAAATAAATATATTTTAGGGATGGGAGGGCAAAGTAAGTTTAGACAGGAGATATCTATTTTGCTTCAATAGTAAAAGCAACGTATATGGAAGGAGAGTAGAGATGCCCAATTTTATTTTCTTATACCTTAAAACTTTGAATTTATTTTTCTACTGTACCTTCACAGACAAAGATCAAATAAGAATCATGAGGCAGATATTTTCCCTTATTAATATATATTAACTTTTCTTTAGGGAAATAACATTAGTTATGTCTGCTCATATCTCCACTATGCTAGAAACTAAGTAACAAATAAAATGGGAAACCCTGTTTATCCCGTAAATTAACATCTTTTAGATTTGCCTTGCTTTACAATCTTTTTTATAAATTTTTTTAAAATTTATTTTATTTATTTATTTATTTTTGGCTGTGTTGGGCTTTCTCTAGTTGGGGTGAGCGGGGGGCTACTCTTTGTTGTGGTGCACAGGCTTCTCATTGCAGTGGCTTCCCTTGTTGCAGAGCATGGGCTCTAGGCCAGCGGGCTCAGTAGTTGTGGCTCGAGGGCTCTAGAGTGCAGGCTTAGTAGTTGTGGCACACGGGCTTAGTTGCTCCCCCACATGTGGGATCTTCCTGGACCAGGGCTCGAACCCATGTCCCCTGCATTGGCAGGTGGATTCTTAACCACTGCGCCACCAGGGAAGCCCGCCTTGCTTTACAATCTTAAGAAATAAAGTTGCATATAATAATTCCATTTTATTAGTTTTTGCATAATTGAAATATGGCTAAGCAATATTGTTCATAATATGTTATTGTGAGCCATAAACAAAACTGGAAACTGTTGGGTGTTGATTTTAGTGCTGATTTTCTTTTCTCATAAGTAATACTTTTATATTTAGTATTATATTAGAATAAAACCCTCCAGAGTTATATGGGTTTCTTTGTTATTGTTTTTAATTTTATCATGATTAGTGAGACAGTCATTTGTTTTGTAGATTGATGACATTGTAAAAGCTGTTGGTAACTGCAGCTACAACCAGCTAGTGGAGAAGATCATCTCTTGTAAGCAGTCAGACAACAGTGAGCTGGTTAGTGAAGGTGGGTGAGTGTTGCTATTATCTGACTTATTCTTGGCATAGTAACTTGTCTTAAAATTTAATGTCTTTTAAATGTCTTAAGTACAACTTCTAAAAAATAAAAGTGATTCTACCTATGAGAATTAAAAGAAGTAATTATTCATAAAGGTACCAGTGAAAGGTTTTTCCTAGGACCCTTTTTACTTGTTTTGTAAAATCACTCCTGGATTCTAAAAGTCTTTGGAATCACTTGCTATCTTTGATATAATCAGTTACCCAGGGGTTACTGATAATTACTCTTTTAAAAAGGGTTATTACTTGGGAGTACTGAGGGAACTTTATAATTCATCTTGAACACTTCTGTTGACTGAGATGTATATTATGGTACTCAAGTGTTCATTTTAGTAGAGCTCTACCTTATATTTCAGTACAATATAGTATATTAAAGCTCTATTCTGGATCAGAGTACACCTTTGATCATCAGTTTCCCTAATCCTTAGCTAAAATTAAAAATTGCTGAATTCATCAGCATATAAGTGTTTTTTTTGTGTTTGTTTGTTTGTTTTTTAAGCTGTGTTCCAGTCAGTGAAGGGAAGAGCAGATTTGAAACCAGAGTGCTATCAGGAACCATAGCATTTAGGTGTAACTTCACCATCACCCACTTCACTTTTTCATAAATATACACAAATACTGAGACTGCTGTTCTCTTCAGTTTGAAGGGTTAACAAAAGAAAGAGAAATCGTGAGAAGCAGACACACAGTTCTTTCACATGAGGTATAATAAAAATTTATTATCGTCACTACATTTTAAAAAATTAAAACCAAATGACTACAAGAGTACCTAAGAACATATAAAAGAAGATGTGTACATGAATCTCATACTATATTGAGTAATAAGAACCCAACTAATTACACTACTCAATTATCCAGAAGTTTAACATGTTTATGCAAGAGGCCAGTAGCAGGAAAGTACACAGTGTGTTAGTTGAGGCTCATCTAGTCTTTTACTTGCAGTAAACACACAGATATTCAGCAATATTGATCATTGATTTGTGTGACGCCTCTTTCACTACAACCTAAGGCAGCAAAGTTTAAATTTTAGGGGAGAGAGGAGCAACAAAAGTTGTTACAAAAAAATGTTTTCCCTCAGTTAACAAAATTCCACTCACGAGAACTTTCCATTCTTTATCCAAGCTCTCATTACTGTAAATATTCTTAGAAAGCAGGCTATAAAGAAAGTATCCATCTGTGGATTCCTACTTTCTCAGTAACTTTCAGTATGCTATTCAGTAGTAATTGAGAGAACAATAGGGTCCAGAAAGTGTTAACAGATGGAATGATAGCCAATAAGTGATATTTGGATGAATATATTTATAAGGTAAGAAGCTATGGGAAACACTAATGTTGACAGCATTTTCACCAAGCTAGGCTGCAGTGTAACAGGGGTAGGACTTATTACACTAGCAGAATGAACAACAACCAAAAAACAGTCCCTTCATCACTTCTCCTTTTTCTCAACGTGGTTTTACAACTATTATTATTATTTCTCTGGTATTGAATCCCTGGGATAATAAAAAACTGTAGCTAATTTGTATAGAATTGATAACTTGAGAAGAATATCTTGGTAAAAACAAGTAGGAATCTTCCTCTTTAGTGGTATAGAATTTTCAGGTAATATATATCAGAGCTGATTAATTCCTTGATATATAAATTTTGTAATGGTGAAATTCTGCTTATCATATTTCCATACATAGCCAAGGAAAAATTATATATGAAATTCAGTACAATTAAAAAGCTAAACTCGTTTTTTGTTTATAAGAAATTACAAATATGTAGTCTGCTTGAAATAAGTATTCAATCCCAATGGCTACTTGTTTAAGGCACTATGAAATCATTAAGGAAATAAAAGGCCACAATGGACATTTTTTCTTATATAATATAGCAATTAGCTTTTTTTCTGTTTCCTTCATCATATTTTCTTGGGTATGTTGTTCAACCAAAGTAGTCTGCTTTCTTTTTCTGTTTAGCCTACAACTGTAACTTTCCTCCTGAATCATAAAATATCCCAAAGTGGTTTATTTCTAATCCTTCTTTATTAAAAATGATTAAACTTTGGTCTGAGATGATTTTTTAAAAATTCAAATATTTCATCTCCATAAGGTGCAGAATTCAAGAAATATGTTTACTATCATTCTTTTTTGATGAAAAAAATATTATTTAGTTAATAGTCAAATAGAATTAGATATTCTTTCAACTTCTTTCAGAGAACATTTATTTTTTTCTGGTGGCAATACCTTGTAAGTAAAAGTACAGAACTTTTACATGTACATAGAATATTTATTACTTGCTACCTCTTTTGGATATTAATACTTTTTTGAATCAAGTTATAATGATGGGTTGTGTCATGGCAGCAAAAATCAACCAGGAAAAAATAGCACAGTATCAGTTTCCAGACTTCACGATAACTGGTCATTTAATTCCAGAAGATCTCTCAGGAATAATTTCTTCTTTAACAGTTGTTTCTAGGTAAAAAAAAAATATGCTTAAGGAAATTATTCCAGCATAGTCACTTATTCGAGCTTACTTGTTGAGCTTTTATTATGTGCCATGAATGCTGAAGATTATAGTTTGAGTTCATATTATTTTTGATTAAATAATATTGATTTCCTTTTTCTCTTTATTCTGAAAAAACTCAAACCCATAAAATTGGAATAGCACAATGAATATATGTATCTATATACATATTTGTACATATATGTTTCATCTAAATTCACCAATTATTAGCATACTGAATTTTTACTTTCTGTATTCACACACACACAATTTTTTTCCTAAATCGTGACAATTAATTGCAAATATTATAGCACTTTATCCATTAACTCTCCCATATTTGTCTCCTAAGAACAAAGAATTTTCCTATGTAATAACAATGCAGTTATCTCAGGAAATTTAACATTGATACAATACTATTATCTAATATACTGTTTATATTCAGAATTCCCCAGTTGTCCCAGTAATGCCCCTTATAGCTTTTAAGTTTTTTCAGTGTAAGTTTCAATCAAGTATCATTTAATTATCATATCAGTTTAGTCTCCTGTAATCTAGAACAGAAGATCCCTATCCTTTTTTCTTTTCTTTTTGGTCTTTTGTGGTATTTACTTTTCTTTATAGTCCAGGCTAGTTGTTTTATAGAATAGTCCTCAATCTGGATTCATCTGATTGTTTCCTCATTAGTAGATTTGGGTTATATATTTTCCTTGGGAATACTACATAGGCGACATTGTGTCTTTCCTAGTGCATCAAATCAGGTGGCACGTGATGTCTGATTATCCCATTGTTGGTGATGTTCAAATAGGATTAAGGTGATATTTACCAGATTTTTTGTTGTTGGAAAGATGCCCTTTGCCATTTGTAATTAATAGGTAATCTCTGATATTATATTTTGAAACTCCATGATTTGTTTAGTTATGAAGAGTTGAAACTAGATTAGGCTTTTGAATATGCCACTAAAATCACACAGGTGTCACTGTTTACAAGTTGGTAGAAGAATTAGGAAACATTTTTCTCTCTAAGTCTAAATTAGTCTATGCCCTGTGGTTTGGGGAGAAATAAAGTTCAGTTTGCATTTATAATAATCAGCACTACATTTTATAAATTAATACCAGTTAAGTTCCAGTCTTCACTTTGCCATAACTAGTTTTATGTCCTTGAGCAAGTCACTTATTCTCTCTGAATCCATGTCCTGTTCTCTAGAAACAAGCAGCTGAGAAAGACTTTTCTAGTGTTTTCTAGTGTTAAATTTTTGAATTTCATACATGAAAGTAACATTGTGCTATATCTCCACTGAATTTTTGTATCTTTTTGAAAGGGTTTTGTAGAGAGTATGTTGTATGAATGAGGTATGGGAGGGACATTTAGAAACATCTTTCTGAAGGCAGTGTTTAGTTACATGGATATTATAGACAGCAGTGGTACTTCTCAGCACAGGCATAATGCTTACTTTTTAAATGCCATATAATAGAAAATGCTTTAGTATATAACTAATACATTCTACTCGATAACTTAGCATTTAGCAAAGTAATGATAATAATTGAGGAGGGGTCTTATTTCTAAATGTATAAAACCAGGAAGTTGCAAATGAGCTATAAATTTCCTTTGGCTGTGGCCTCCTCTATAACTTTTTGTACTTCCCATCCTACATTACCAATTCCTTGGAATAGTGTGATATATTGGTAACTTTTTACAACCACTTTGCAGCTTGAAGTGCTATGGCTTGACACTAAAAGTGAGGGAGTGGAATAAATCTATATCATGCAGCTGCCTCTGGCCCTTCCAAGTTTCTACCAAGTTTATTTTCAATTTTTTGTTGAGTCATCAGTTTATTAACACAGATTCATCTTTACTCCCTATATCTGCACCTCCCTGCTCACTTACAAAACTTTTTAGAGCATTCTCCTCCCCGCTATTCCTTTTTAAAGAAAGGGAGCAAAAGGAGGAAGGAAGAGAAAGAAGGAAAGAGAGAAATATAGGCTTTTAAAATATTTATACAACTGATTCTCATTATTACTGATAGTTATGTTCCATAAAGTTGCTGTGAACACTGAATTAGTTAATACCAAACCACTGCTCATAGGGGAAACACAACATTAGGTTCCTGTGAGCCTCTGGTCACGAGATTTTCATCAACTTATCAGTACCTAACCTTGTTTTTCGTGTGTTTCTGTTGAGAGACACATTTTTTTTTTTAACATCTTTATTGGAGTATAACTGCTTAACAATGGTGTGTTAGTTTCTGCTTTATAACAAAGTGAGTCAGCTATACATATACATATATCCACATATCTCCTCCTACCCTCCCTGTCCCACCCCTCTAGGTGGTCACAAAGCACGGAGTTGATCTCCCTGTGCTATGCGGCTGCTTCCCACTACCTATCTGTTTTACATTTGGTAGTATATATAAGTCTATGCCACTTAGAGACACCTTGTTTAATATATATTATTGATTCAGTAACGTTAAACTCATATCCAACAGCTTCATGCCCGGCTGAAGCTGCAAAAATATGCATTGTCTCTATAAGGCACATCACAACCTTTGTGTGCTTAGGAACACTCGCTTCAGCATTATGCTTGGGGGCCATTTTACACAGTAAAAATCACTCCAAAGAAGCACAAAAATTTCACAAAATGTGGCATTAAATAGAATGTGAAAATGACATTTGTTCACAGTATGAGAGCTGAAACAAGAAGGTGACACACTGTTGCCTATTTTGACTTCAGTGGGGAATGTGTGTGTTGGGTGACTCAATTTTTTTGCTGCTTTGCACATATTCAGGAATGACCCTGAAAGTGCAACAAGTATTGATTTTTGGAGTTATAAATTTTAGATAGTAGGCAAATTAGCGTATATGAACCTGTGTGAATAATGAGGATCAACTGTATGTATAGCTTTTAAATTAAACCCCAGAAGGTTTCTTTATATTTCATTATGTTTGAAAACAGAATAGACTATTTCTATTTCTGAACTTGATATATCTACATAATGAGTAGCATATGTTGGAGGAGATTAGGATAAAAATATCATCAGTTACCCCACTGTTTTCTGTTCAGTCTTATGCCTACTTTTAGTTTTAAGGCAAGAATTGAGCAGTTTGTGAATTGAAAATTATCTGGGATCTTTGTCAAAATCTTAAGCAACTCAGTTTCTTGAGGCTACTTTTAATTTCTAAACACCTATCCATTGGGGAAGTAGTTGTTGACTTTTGCTAACCTTTACCTTCTTATTGTTTTATTGGGTTTTAGTTTTATTGTATGTGTTTCTTCTATTGCAAGGCGCATGAAATCCTTTGCAGAAGTAGGTGTGGTATAAGTAAATACATTTATTGATAAAAAGAATTTCAGATAACTGTTTCTTTAGCCTGGAAATGTCTATAGACACATCTTCCCTTGCAGAATTAGAAAAAAAAATCTCCAATTTAGGGCCATTATGTTATAGTAGGAAGAGTCTTATTTTGATTGGCCTTTCTTCATACTTGGAACACAATGTAAATAGAAAAACTTTAAAATTTTGAAATTATTCTTCCATCTAATATTATGCATTGGTTCCTAGGCTTTGTAGCTGAGCAGTTTCTAAATAACACAGCCACTCAACTGACATACCATGGATTATGTGAACTAACTTCAACGGTTCAGGAAGGAGAACTTTGTGTGTTCTTTCGGAATAATCATTTTAGCACCATGACCAAATACAAGGTATGATACAGAAATAGCTACTGTTATTCTAAACTAAAGGAGCTTGATTTAGAGATATCTTATGATCTGCTTCAAAATAAAAAATTTTAGCATAATATTCTTTAACCATCAAATTATGAAGGTAATAATTAATTCTTTAGGGTGGAATGGATTAGCAATTTGTTACTTAAAATCAGTTTTTTGTTTTTATTTAGGTCTCAACTCCATTTTCACAGATTACTGCATTAAAATGTATTTATTATTTTCTTTCTAAGGAAAAAAAAGATAAACCCTAATGTTAGAACTAGGATGACTGCTAATGATGGATGTTTACATTTGAGGGCTAAAGGAGTTTAGAGAAAGAATCAAGATTTGTCTTTATGATAGTGTTTCTATTATTAAGTTATCAGTGTGACTTTAAATTCTTTTTACCATGTCACTTATGGCTTTGCCAAAAAAATCTTACTGATTCATCCCTCTTGTTATCTCTTCAATGCTTCCATTTTTACAGCTGCCACCTAATACAGGAGTTTATCAACTTATCTCTAGACTTCTGTGGCAGAATACCGCTCTGATCAGGTCAATAATATTGCAAAAATGTTAGTAGCACCCAGTGCCTAGAGGATAAAAATGCAAGGTATTTTCTACTATACCCTTGTGTCAACACTTTTCTTCAGCCATAATGATCTGTCTACTCATTAATAGTCCTCCATCCCCATACACACTTTATGCCTTCCCATTTTGTTTCTTACTCCTAATCCCTATGTGAACATTCTCACTCCTTTTTGCCTATCCAAATTTCACCTTTTAAGAAATATTTTAAATACTAACTCTTAAGTAAAGCTACTTCTTCTCTCCTTAAATCAGTGGTTCTCAACCCAGATTGTATGCTAGAGCTGCCTACGGAGCTATTAAAAAAATACCAATGCCCAGAGCCCAACACCAACTCAATTAAATTAGAACGTGTAGAGGTGAGACCTGAGCAACAGTATTTTTAAAATGTTTTCCAGGTGATTTAAATATGCAGCTAAGGCTCTGGATCACTACTCTCCCCTTCCTCCTTTACTTGTTATGGGCCATATTGTCCTTACTTTGCCCTTATTGATGAGTACCTAGTTAACAGTTTTCTTTCCATGTAAATGTGTCTCATTTTTCTAAATGAAAGGAAGCTTATTGAAGTCAGGAATCTGACTTTGTATTTCCTTCAACACTTTAATCAGTGAATTGCACAAAGTAGTGTGAAATAATGATTTGTTTGCTTATCTAAGAATACTATATAGCCCTAGCTCTCCTGCTCCCCTGTTAGTTATAGCAAGGGTTTGTTTGTATTGTTCCCATATTTAAGCTAGATGTGTCCTAGGTATGGGCCCAGATTTATCCATACTCCTCAAAAATCTAAGGCCAAAGAACCACAAAATCAGAATTTTTGCTACATAATAAATACTAAGTCATCTCACTTTACCTGATCTCTTTAAGTCCACACTTTATTCATTCATTCAACAAATATTTATTGAGCATGATTATGACTGGGTACTTAGCTAAGTATTAGGACTGCAGCCTGAGCAAGGCAGCTATAGTTCCTGCCATTTAAGGACCTCCTAGTTTGACAAGGGACAGATGTTAAATAATTACACAGGTAGGTATCATTTCTATTGAGATACACTCTGTGAAGGGTACCTACAACATGCTGTGAGTACTTTTATTAGGACTTATAACCTATTTGAAGATGTCAGGAAAAAAAGGGGGGTGGTGCGGTTAACTAAGCAGATGGAACATGTGTGCAAAAGCCCTGAGGAGGGAAATAACCTAACTTTTTAAGGAATTCGAAGAAGGGCTATGTGACTGAAGCATGGAAAATAAGAGGCACGATGTAAGGCTCAAGAGGCATGATGTAAGGCTCAAGAGATAGATATCAGATCTTGTAGAGTCCTAAGTTAAAAGGAGAAATAGGGAATTATCTGGCAGTCCAATGGTTAGGACTTGGCACTTTCACTGCCAGGGCCCGGGTTCAGTCCCTGGTCAGAGAACTAAGATCCCACAAGCCATGCTGTGTGGCCAAAAATAAATAAATGAATAAATAAATGAATGAGAGAAATAGATTTTGGTCTCTTGATGGCCTAGTTGTTTTGTTCTCTCTCTCTCTCTTTTTTTTTTTCTCCACAGGAGTAAGATAGTTCAACTGAGAAAACAATGTTTCTGGCTGTCATGAGTGGTTGTTTTACAGCTTCCCAAAATTGAGCTTTAGACATTCCTTTTTTTTTTTTATCAAGGCCATATCCCTGACCTGGAAGTCCTTTACTAGTCACCTAGGTATTCACAATCTTCCTGTGTGGTTGGGAAGGGTGTGCCTCTCCTGGAGCACTTTCTGCATTGGGTCTGTTTCTGGACTGAATATGCATTTCCATGAGATAATGATAGCCGAGAGAATGTGTGCATTCTGCTATTTCTCACTTCTAAGTTTTTCTCAGTAAACCTTATTCTATAGCTAAACAGTGTATCACTAGTGTGTGTCTCCCTGCCCCTTGTATAACATTAAGGTGCTTTGGACTTTGGGGCAAGCCCCAAGAGCCAGTTTTTTGAAAGGATAAACAAAATCGACAAACTTCTAGCCAGGCTTTCCAAGAAGAAAAGAGAGAAGACCCAAGTAAACAAAATAAGAAATGAAAGAGGAGAATTAATAGCCAATACTGCAAAAATAAAAAAAATCATAAGAAATACTATGAATAGTTATATGCCAACAAATTGGGACAACCTAGAAAAAAAAAGGACAAGTTTCTATAAACATACAGCTTGCCAAAGCTGAGTCAAAATAATTTGGGGGGCTTCCCTGGTGGCACAGTGGTTGAGAGTCCGCCTGCCGATGCAGGGGACACGGGTTCGTGCCCTGGTCCGGGAAGATCCCACATGCTGCGGAGTGGCTGGGCCTGTGAGCCATGGCCGCTGAGCCTGCGCGTCTGGAGCCTGTGCTCTGCAACAGGAGAGGCCACAGCAGTGAGAGGCCCGCGTACCGCAAAAAAATAAAAGGAAAAAAAAGCATTCAGCTCAGTCCTGGTTCCTTCAATATTACTGCCAAACTTCTGTGAAAGAAGCCTTGTAATGAAGACTAACAGCAACATAGAAGATGATTTAAAAAAAAAAAGTTCATTTATCAATATAACAATCTAGAAAAAAGAAAGTGACTATAATACTTGATGACAGACATCATGTTTAAGTAGAAAACACAAAGAGAAAAAAGTAATATCTCTGAAAATATTGCACAACTTCAGGTGTTTCCTCCAAATTTGCTTTATGTAATTGGATATAAATTAATGAACAAGAACTTAAGCAAGATACATGAACAATTTAACAGAACCTGATAATCTAATTTCTTTCAATTTTTCTCAAACTCATCGTGGGGCTTATAAGAAAATTAACCAACATAGATACTGCTACAGTTGAATGTCAAATCTTTAAGTGCTTATGACATACTAAATTCTTCTATAATGCAATTATGAAGAACCCTTCAAGAGACTTGTGTTTTATATGTAGAAAAGTGTTAAAGTCAAATATTCAACTAAATATAAAATAATAAGAAACATTTCTGATTTGTTGGGTTGAGATTGCTTCTCCTTTTGCTAATGAATGATTTTTTTAGCTGTAATATCACTGAGTTGAACAAATATGTCACCTTTGAGTACATTAAGAAAAATAAACACATGCTAAATGGATAAAACATTACAACTACATCCTTACTAGACCATCTCTACTTCTAACACTTCAGAAGCTTAGAGATTCAGTGTTCTTATATTAACTGCAAGAAAAAGATAAAAGAGAAATTTCTTCTTTTTTTGAGATCACAACTATGAAGTCATGTGGTTATACAAATTCTGCATTTGTGTGCAAAACATGAAACACATTTATCTTAATTCTCCCTGCTTAGAATTGTCAGTCAACTAGCAGGACTGTTCTTCCAAGAAACAGAAACAGAGATGTGTTTTACATAACTTCAATAACCTCAGCACTACAATACAGGGAAGGAGGTCACAGGAAAGAATAAATCAAAATTGTTACAACTGAGAAACTTTTCTCAGTTTAACCATGGTGCCACTTTCATTTTTACATAAGCATGGTGGCATAATTCAAGCTCAATAAATCAGAATTCTTAATGTTTAAAATTTACCTTGACTTTTAGTTATCACCATATTAACAACCAAAATAATTAGGTGAAACACATAAGAAAGGGTAATATTAAATCCCACTTTACTAGAGTTGGTTTCTTGACACATTAACTCATTTTTTTATAGAAAAGGGATAGTGCATCTCAGCTTGCTTACACACTAGATCACTTTGAATTCTGCATTTCCTAACTGCAAACAGATATAGCACTTATAACAGGTTATAAATAAACTGGTTTTCAAGCATAGAGCCAGCCCCAACGACAATAATACACTATTTAAAAAGACCTAAGGCAATGAATTCCATTTCCAGTGGAAAAAAGAACTGTACAAACAAGCTTAAAACTACTTTTTTTGTGCCAGTGTTGTAAAATGTAGCTTTTAATAAAACCTTGACCCAAATGCCAGCAACTTGAGAAAAGAATTTGGGTGGGGGGAAGAAGAAAGTTACTTCATTTAGGAAAAACAACCACTATCTTTTTCCTAATCTTCGACATACACAATTTAAATTTATACAGCTGCTTTAACACTTTACACAATTCCTATATACTGGACCAATAACAAGATCTAAATACAATTATATTTTTGAACACTGGGTCAAGGCTTTACATAAAAATACCTTCCTACTTTTCCCCCTAAGTTTCTAAAATATCACATACTTTCCCCCAACATCTGCAGCCATTCAGGAATATTTAGAAAACTTTTGTGCATGATCTTAATCCCTAATCCCTGGCTTTTTGGGCTCAGTGACAAAAGATCAAAACCACCAAAAATGATGGTTCACTTGAAGTTAGATGAGAGACCCTGGCTCAATCCGTCTCGTAGGACGAAAGCAGTGCTGCATCAACGGGCTCCATGCAGGAGGGG